TCTCCTGTGATCCCTCCGCCGTCAGCCGGGCTGTTTGTAATCACACCAACTTCCGGGGCGTTGGCCGGTATGTTACCTGTCTCCGATGCCCTTTGGGCCTTTCCAACCCCATTTGAAGTGGCACTCAGGACAGCGCCTCACAACGGGGACTCCCCAGCCTCCTGACTACCTCTGAACAAGCTCGAAGGGCGGTGGAACAGAGAGATCCTGATAGCATCACAGCTTCGTGTTGCCACTGCTCTGCGACAGGGGCCGAGAAAAAGGAGGGAGGGGTTCTGCGTGTCGCCCTTCCGCGTCCCCCCCCCCCCCCCCGGAAAACCAAGGCGATTCTTTTTCATAATTTAAAACCCTGCTTTACTCTGGGAGCATTAGAATTCCTAGACTATGACAGAGTATCCGAGTGCGTCTGCTTCAAATGTCAAGAGAGTCTTTAATAATAGCACGTGAGGAATGTTAAGATGGTGACAGAATACAATAAAAGTTGGGAAATTCTTCAATTGGGGTGAAATGAGCCGTAGGTTGCCTACCCGCTGAGAGCCCGAGTTGGCCTTCAAGGCCGAGTTGTGAAGGTCCGAATGACCATCACTCGATCGAGTGTCTGGAAGATCGCTATTTGGTAAATACTCGGCTTGGTAGAAGAATTTAATTTCTCCTCCTTACAGTGCTGACCTCCCCACCACCCCCGGTTTTTTTGGTTTTTTTTTTTAACCTTATTTTCCTCTTTTTGATAGTATGCTCTTAAGAGGCCAGGTGACAAGATCCATTCTGCCTCCGTCAGTTTTGTAGGGACTATCAGTGTATATATGCAGTGGCTGAGGATATCGAGCCCCGCTCCCGCTAAGGCACACTAAGTTCATAGAAGAGAGTGGTGCCTCCCCAACACCCCTCATTAAACTTGGACCCTTGGTGTCCTTATTGGAAGCATTTACTCCTGCATCCCTCCCCTGGAGAACTGGACAAGATTAGGTCAGATCCCAGTCGCTGAAACTGGGGACCTCCGTCGACTAATCCATGCTTACTTCTTTGTAACCTGTGTGTTTCCAACGTTGTGCACCCGTGTGTGCGCACACATACACTCCCCAGGTTCTGCCTACGTAGGTCAGTGTAAGAGATGGGAGTGGGGCAAAGATCTGAGTTCTCAGGTGGTGTCCCAGGTGATGCCGGGGATCACACCCCTTTGGAAAAGTCAGACCAAGCATCATGTCACCTGGGTTCTAGTCTTACTGTTGTCCCTTCTTAGCTTCACAGCCTCAGGTTAAGTTCTCCCCATGAATCTCAGTTTTCCCCCAACTATGAAACACGGCATGAGAACTAGAGGCCTTGGAATAGCCTCAGCAGCTTGTGAAATGGAATGAGTGGCCTGGCCCCTTCCTCTCTCCATCCTCTGTAATTCTAGTGTTTTTTCTGTCTCCCAGATAGTTCGCTTTTTTTTAGAAGAATTCTTTTCTCGTGAGTGAGAACCGCCAAATTGGGTTTAAAATGATTAGTCCTCCTGAGAGTGTAGAATATGATTGTGTTCAATGAATTTCAGCCCATGTTACCTTTTCTCTGCTAAAAGAATGAGTGTAATCTTCTTAGCTTTTACCTTTGAAGATGGTGCATGGGGCCCCCTGGCCTTCAGCAGTTAATGGAGTGATACCCCTGTTACAGTCCTGGCCAGTGTTGGTGATCTGAAGACTGACTTGAGGCCACGGGGAATCGAAGAGGGGGTGACCCGTATTAGTCAAGGGCAGAAAAAACATTTCTTTAGGACACAGGACAGATAAAAGTGAGAACTAAGGGAATAAATCCATGAGAAATGAGCATCATCATCCTAGCTTCCTGTTCCCTTCTTTAAAATCTCTTAAATTCTCTCCCCAGTTAGCACAGCTGCAAACTCCATCGAATCTCTGTTGTGTTGATCCAGTTTCGAAACATCTCCTTAGTCAGTAGAAGTCTAGATAGACTAGACTGATTTAACTTTCCTTTAAAAAAAAAAAACTTTTTTTTTTGGAGCATTCATGAAGTGCTAGGCTCTGTGCTAAGCTTGTTATGTGCAAGAATTTATTTAATCCTCAAAACAACCCTTCAAAGTTCAGAGATTATTATTCCATATTTAGAAGGAGAAGTGAAAAGCTTGAAAAGGTTACATAATGTGCTCAGAGTCTCAGAGCCAGGATTCGAATCCTTCGAATTCTGTTAGCCCACGTCCTTTTTAACCCATTTTTGATTCTAGTCATTCTGCAGTATTGGTGCACCAGGTTACTAATTTAAACAGACACTGCACACGCAGTTCCCCTTACTGCGTGGCCTGTTGTCATTCCTTTTATGCTAGATACTCCTCCTGTACCCACCAGGAAAGCTCTGAGAGAGTAATTCTTTTTTGATACTACAACATAAAAGGATGTGTAAATTTGTCAGCCAGATTTTTAGGTGACCTTTGGACTGAATTTTGCATCCTTTTCTTTGCCTGTCATGGGAGTCAGTTGATAAGGGAATGCTAGACTATATTTGCTAATATTAAATGTTTGTATTCCCATATTATAACAAAGAAGGGATGCTGTGAAAATTGATGGGGGTGGTGAGCTCATGGAATGATGGCATAAAAAAACAGCAAAGAATCTGCAAGCTGTTTGAAGGACCAGTGAGTATTGTAAATGCAAGACAGCCCTCCGTAGAGAGAAGAGCTGATTTCACTAGGTGTGAATTTGTAGCCATTTTTGCATAAAAATAAAAAGTGAATTTGGTGAGATTTTTTTCTTTCAGTTCTCAAGAGGTTTGTATTAGAACTGTTACCAATGATAAAAATCCAAAATCCTTCCCAATACTATATATGACATGCTAGTTTGCGCTAATAAACACAAGGAAAAACTTGGATTTTTGCCTCTGTCTATAACCTTGCCTGTCTTACATAAAGCAGAGTTAGGATAGTAGACTTGAGGTTGAGGCACAATAAAGAACCTGGATAATTCTCCAAATGAATGATGAATCTAAGTGATATTCTTAAGAAGAAATAAGATTCCCTCCAGCAGTAAAGCACACCAGGGTTGTGGAGGTGACTGGGTGTACAGATTCTCCATGTGTGTTTGCCATGTGGTGTTACCACCTTTGACCAGTAAAAGGTCAGCCTGGTAGACATTTGGATGGAACATAGAGGTAATGGTTTCTTTTGATGCTGGGAATTTGGACCTCCTTCTAGTTGGTCTTTGTAATTGTTCCATCAACAATGTTTACCCCTAAATTAAGTCACGATTAATATTCATCAGACTCTTCAGTAAATATTGCCTCCCACCCTTAAATTTGTACCATTTAGCACCACAGACGACTACTTGTTTTTAAAAAGAATAACTGAGATGCCTCCATTCCTCTGCCCCATGATAATTTTAAAACAAACCATTTTTCTTAATCTAAAAATGTTTTAGTTGTAACATTGGAGAACTCAGAACACTTACATAAAAAACAAATAACTGTAGAAAAATGCCATTGCTAACATTTTAATTGTTCTAACTGAGCCACTTTGGAAAACTGAATTCCTTTAGCATTATGTGTTCTGAGCATCTTTTAGTTTGGCTGTTCAATAACTGACTAAAGAACAGAGGATGAATAACATAAAGTGGCTCCTAATATGGTATCATTTTCATTTCCTGTTTGTTGAAAGATAAATGCTAACACTGTAAGCCCCCCCCCCCCCCCGCCGCCCCGCCACTTCTTAATTTATTCCTCCCCGAACCACACCACAAGGGAATAAAAAGGAAAAAAAAAAAAAAATCAAATGTGATATGGCTTGAGACTGAGTCATCGAGTTAGGATAAGTTGAAAGCTTTTTCCTTCTTGTTTTTCTACTTATTCCCTTTTCTCTGCCTTCCCCCAATTCTTGAAACATCCTCCTCCCTTAAAATGCACTTTGATTTTTAAAAACTAAATCTTACTTGATTTGAGGGGGGGAATAATTTTAGACTTACAAAAAATTAATTGATATTTTAAAGATGTAATGTTAATTATGTGACATGGAAGAACTGAGTCCCTTCCCAATTCTAAGGCATTATTTTGGACAAATAGTCTGTAAACATCCTGAACCGAGATTTTTTTCCATCCCTGCCTCTCCTCCCTCTCCTCCCTCCCTTTCCCCATCTCGTATTAATCTCTTCTGTGGAATTTCCCCCAAATTCCACAACTTTTCTCTTAACTAAACCTGTATCTTTGGGGGGATACATTTCCTGCCTCTTCTACAGTCATAATTATGTCCCCTATGCTCAAGTGTCTTAAACTGTTGAAGATACCCTTGTGTAGGAAATAGTCCAGGGCCAGCATAAGAAAGCAGCCTGTAACAAATAGCTTCTGAGTCCCTACTATGTACATCCAGTTAGGAACTCATGTACCTTCAGAAGAGAATGTTTTCTAGAATGAGGAGACTTGAATTTTTGTCACGATGAGACTAGCACATAGTAGGTACTCAGATACTGAGTCAGTGAGTGAGTAAGCTTACTGTACATTTATTTGGAAATGGGGACTTGTCCCCCTTTGTAGCTATCTGCCCTGTTAAAATTGCTTGCCTGGACTGTCTGAATCTCTGTCTACTTGTGAAGAAAGATGGAATTAATTTTGCATAAGTATATCTGTGTGTCTAGGAGTTTCTCCACAACCACAACAGATGAATTTACGAGTTTTCAGTTCCCTAGCTCATTTTCCTTTGGCTTCCTCATGAATCAGGTTGGTTAATAGGCGTGATTCACGGTTTTGTCTTGTAGCTGTCTATGTTACACGGGACTCCTTGGTGCCAGTAGGTCTAGGACTTCCCAGTTAAAGGCTCATGCATCTTGTGTTGAGAAATCACACACCGACACCTCCAGTTACTCGGAGTTTGGCATTGGTTGTATAGATTTCAAAACGATTAAGCAGTGATGCAAATTTTGTTGCATGCCAGGGGGCCATAGGGTAATTTAGAATATGTATCATTTGGGATATTTAAAGAGTAACGTATCTGTATTCAAAGAAATAACAGAGCATTTTCTCCCTACCAGCTTGCGAAAGACAAAGAGCGCCTGCAAGCCATGATGACCCACCTGCACGTGAAGTCTACAGAACCCAAAACTGCCCCTCAGCCCGTAAGTACTGAGCAACATCCAGGGGGTACCTGACACCATTTCTTCTCTGCTTCCCTTCCACCAGGAAGGAGGATCCCTAGTCTGGCAGCTTTGAATATTGAAAGACTTAAGTTCCATCTGGTTCTGGTTACCTTTTATGAACAGTGCAGTGTGCTGGGCATTTAGGGAGATACGTACGGGATGATTCAGGCACAGTCCTCAGCCACGAGACCCCACAATCAGCTCTTCTTTGGGACAGATGATTGATGTTACACCACCATGCTAAAACATATTATGACAGCTCTTGGGAAGGAAAAAATGAAAAACAGAACAAAAAGCAATCTTTCTGATTTCTCGTTGGTGGAAACAGAGAGGACTGCCAGACCAGGAAGGCAGAAGAAGAAAATGTATGTTGGCATGGGTTAGTTAGGAGACAGTGGGTATGAGAAAAGGGTTGAGGAATGGTCCAGTCCAGTCTGAGAGGAAAGAAGGAGGAAATGTTGAAATAGTTAGAGGCTATAATTACTGCAGAACATCTAATGGTTACTAAAGAGTTGGAAGTGAAAATGACTCCTTCAAAGTGAGATCAAACGTGGTACCCTAAAATTACATCTCACTTTCAGGAATCTCTTACTACTTGCCTTATTTCCCTTTTCTTTGACCTTGAAGAGTGTCATGCAAGCACAGACAATATCAAAGTGGAAGGATGCTATCTGGACCCCAGTTCCTGTCTTGGGTCTCATTCCCTGTTGTACCTTGATGGTTTTCAGTTACATTTGTCATATACTTACAGTTCTCAAAATCTAGTTGCTTCAACTAATTTTTCACAATGGAGAGAGTGCTTTGCTTCTTGATTTTTAAGATTTGTAAAATTTAAGGGTACACTGCCTTTATTTGATTTTGCTTGGAGTCACTGTGTGAAAATTAATTGAGCGTTGACAATCTATAGTTAGTACCAGCAATTTTAATCAATATGCAATGATGCAGCATAATGGCAAAGTATTGGTTTATCTGTTTTGACTGGTTTTTTTCTATAAATAAAGCAAACATACACCCATATATGTATGATTTATGGTGATAGAAATAAAACGGAGTCAGACTATTAACCCAGCAAATATGGTAGCCTGCCAAGATGCAGTTGGCAGACAAAATTAATGTCTGAAACAGAACACATTACTGAGATATAGGACATAAAATCATTAAACACTTTGCACATCCATTTTTACTAGGAAAGAGCCCTTGGTTTCCATGTATTTTGCAGTAAATGGCTGTAGGACCAAACGTGTAGGCCCCTCAAAAGAAAGAGTAAGGCCTTTTGGTATTGTGGAGTCATTAGTCAACCGTGCTCTAGGTGCTATTCCTATCAACCCCTTCTTTTAAGGAGGCTCCTAGGAATAATGTGAACCCCGCTAAAACAAATAGGTAAGATCCTTGCGTGATCCCACTGAGTTCTTCAGTGGTTAGAGCTGGTGGCAAGGGGAGCTGATCGTCTTGGAACTCTCTGGACATCTTCAGATGGTTTCCATTCATTAGGGAAATGGTTTTCTCCAGGATAAAGGGTTTGCGTCTCTAAACCCAGCGACAAGGGAGAGAATGAGATGAGTTACTCTGTGAATTAAAAACAGTAATATGAGGTTAGATTTTAAATATGAGGATTAGAATAATGTGTGGACTCAGCACTCTAGGAGTGGACTCGTTTAGGATCATGAGGCTTCTTGGTGAGAGGAGGAGGGATGAAAGCAGAAAAGGAATTGAGACACCCTACGGGGCACTCCATGAGCCATCATAGGGCTGGGTGCAGTCCTGGAGTGCCATATACATAGGCTTCCAGAGGCCACAAAAAGGACCCTTGGGAGTCTCCATGAGGACCCATGTTAAGCAGCCACTGAACAGGAAAGAGCCGTCCTGGGGGAAATGCACAGGGCAGGAACGTTTGTCTTCATCAGTATTTAAAAAAATGTTTTACATGCTAGAAAATTATAACTTGGAAGGGGACCTCCTACTAAATTTATTTTTAACTGCTCTATTGAAAATTCTTTACCACTAGTCAACATTATCTCTTAGTAGCTCAGCACAGTATTTCTTTATTAAAAGAAATAGGCACGAATATTTTTGACTGAAAAATTAATAGCTTTTGAATTCATACACAGCAGGTTTTCTTTTGCAAAGAAGTCCAATATCGCTGCACAGCACTTCTATAACCATTTATTTGGAGTCCAAGTCAAACCTTTGACAGCTAGAGCCGTGCTACAAGCCAATATAAAGAACTCCAAGATGTAAACCAACAATAGGCCGCCTGTGTGAGGTTTGCCATTGTCAAATACATAGATTGTTTGGATTAGTTTATGTAAATGTACTGTTGTATTACCCTTTGAGAAAAAAAAAAAGATCACATTTGTGTATGAAAAGTGGTTCCTTTCACAGGCAGCATTATAAATCCCTTATCCTTTAACTTACATGTAAGAAGTAAAAATTGGTGCCTGACAAGCAGATATTGTGTGACACTGTTGCCAGAGAGAACCTGCCTTCTTTTCATTTATTTGAAAATAGAAAATTTTATTATAGATACCATCTTATAAATCAGGAATTATTAAAATATGTATAGGTGAGGCATTGGGAAATTAATTATAAAAGGTAGACGTGCAGTGTTTTGCACACATTTTTACTTCCTTGCTGTAAAAAGCGGGAGGGACACAGGCATAGAGCAGACCCTCCATTCTTTCAGCTTTGGGGATGTAGGGTTATCTGATCAGTTCTAAGGTGTAAAAGACTCCCCTTCGCCTGTAATTAACTCACCCCTCCTGAAATAATAGAACGCATGGTGTATGTTCAAACGCACATCGTCCTAGACTCGGGTTTGAAAGAAGCGGTTCCTGGGGTTCAGATCTAACCCTTGCTGGGGACGCTCATGTTAGAGTCTTGCCAGGAAGTTTGTGAAGTTTTTTTCTTTTTTCCATTTCTGTTTAAAAGGAACTTGGTGTTTGTTTTAAAATCCTTAGTCACTAAGTGATAGAATGCTTTGCTGTAAACGTTGCTTTTCACTAAATGCCATTTGGGTGCTAAGTGTCATTTGCTGTGTCCAGTCTTCCAGCCAGTTCCCATTTCACTGCATCAAAGAAACTGCCAAAACCTTCTTGGATTGTTCTGACATCAGACCCTAGACGTGTTTGCTGGATCCTGTTGTGGAACTCGTGTTCCCATTTGGCTTGTCAGAGGCTATTCTCATATGGGGAGAGTCCCAAGTTCTTAGATGTGGGTCTCACCCCGACCCCGCACCCTGGGAAGCATCTAGGTGAGCTGAACGGGGGTTCACGGGCACCCTGCTCCACAGGGCCTCCGGTAGCGTCTCTCCCCGCTTGCTTGAAGGTCTTTTAAAAGGAGAAAAACCTCTCCTTTTGTAATCATACCCAGGACCCAAATTGCAGTGCACGCTGTTTTTGTAAAGAGAATTTCTGAATTTAAAATCAAAGTAATTGCATCAGTGAGTATTTATGGAACGTGCGGCTGGGAAACGTAGGGTAGGAAAATAGGACGGACCCGTCCCTGCCATCGAGTGTATCTTGTGGGAGAGCTGCGCGCCACGTGAGCATGTGGGCCGCCGGCCCTGGCGGTGGGAGCGAGCGAGACTCGTGGCGCCTGCGCCATCTAAGATGCGACGGAAAGGAGGAGAAGGAAGTCAGCTTGCATGATTCCTGCCGAGGGTTAAGAGTAGGTGCGGGTGTTTGAGGAAGGGAACTGGGAGAGGAAAGTCTGTGATGAAGATCAGAGTAGAGAAAGGCAAAGAATAGCCGATGTCAGCCAAAAGAAGCTTTTGATTTGTAATGTTATTTATAAGCTTTTAAGGTTATTAAGGCTGGGCCGTGTTTACCAGAGCAGCTGCAGATTCTAGCACGGAGTTATACAGTGCGTAAAGCTGGACCTGTCATATGGTCAGAACGGCCATGAGTGTTGTAGGCTGGCATTTCCAACGATTCATCTCGTTTCCATGTTCAGAGAAGCACAAGTGAAAAATCAAGCGATCGTAAACTGTCCTAATGAGAGTGATATTCTTTTGTTACAAGCTCAGTACCAGTAATGTTCTCAAGGTAAACACCACAGTGGGTTGCTTGAGGGCGAATGTGTCCAATGCTCACTCCATGGAGAATTTCCTGAGATGTTTCTTTGGAGGGAGGCCGCACTCAGAGGATAAAACAGTAACCACCACTACCAATGAGAAGCATGTCTGTATTAATACTTTATTAAGTTGTTAAGGAGTTTTGAAAAAGACTTTTTTACTATTGTAATGTCGGGAAGATACTGTAAATCATATTTTATAATCTTGAGAACACGAGAGGTAGGTTTAGCTTCAGGGTATTCCTACCCCCCAGAGAACAGCTCCCAACGCTGGTGAAACCACATTCCTTCAGGTTTGGTGGGCAAGTAACTACAGTGTAGGTAGAATCTCCTTTCTGAAAATGTTATAAAACACAGGAACTTGGCTATTTGAAGCGAAAGGCAGTCTTAGATTTTCCTTTGTACACATTCTCTTTTCCTCCAACCACAGCAATTAGGACTGTTTGGAAGTAGTTTTTAGCTGCTATAAAAACTGTGTGTGTCCCTTACACCCCTCCCCCCCAAAAAGTGGGGGGGGGCGTCCTTTAACTCTTAATGAAATGGATGATCCTGTGGGCTGTTGGCTGCAGCTTGGCTGGTGAGTTGGAGAAGTAATTTTGAGGCCGTCATAAAAAGAGATTGGCAGAAACAAGCAGTGTTTCTATACTGGTTCTCATGAAGCCCCCCATGCCGAGGTTCAGTGTCAGTGACGGTCGCCTTCTCGCTCACCATCCCACTCGGGGCCCAGATCTCAGGCAGCGGTGGGACTCGGCAGAGGGAGTTGTCCTCAAGGTCACCCCCTGCCCAGCACCGCCCACCTACCCCACCCCACGGTCTGGGAACATCCCTCCAGTTCTTCCATCCTCAGAAAAGCCATCTCTGAACACAAGGGATCCGTGTCTAGAATTCACCTGCTCAGGTCAGTCAAA